TCAAGGATCCCAGTTTCTAAATCATGTGGGAAACAGACAAGCTTGTAGCCTGTTAAAATTCTTAATCTGGTAAGATTTCATAATATAGTAATGGCTTTTAGAATACAACTATAGGCCCTATCCCGTGCATGCCGTGAGGCTTTTCTTTTAATGTGCAAATTACTGCATACAAACCCCGCAGAGTGAATATGATCAATGCTGGAGGATTCATTAGCAGGGACTTCATGGCAGATAGGATACAAGATGGTGTGTGGCGTTATAGGTGCAGAGGAAATGGTGATTGGCATTTTACAGTGAAAATGGATGGTTTTAGAAGATTTAAAATGGCAAAGGAAGCCACCTTCAGGAGAGGTTAAATGACTTGCTTATTAGGGCGAGGAAAGAGCGGTTTTAAAAAGTTGTGTGTGTTTAAAGGGGATCACTTAAAAAAAAAATCACAATTGCAAAATTTGATAACAGCTCCTGTGTAAAATCTGTTATTAACCAAACTATAAGGAAATGGTGTGTACTCCCTGCAGCCGTAGTGGAGTATCTTTTAAGATGTATGAAGACCGTGATTATCCTTTATTTATGCTTCTGATTATCTTTCATCTGAGGATGATCAGATGCATAGAGGATGGTTAAACTTAGGGACAAAGAGGTGACTTGACTGAGAATATACAGCAAGTCTGTGATGTAGTTGGGAATAAAACCCAACAGACTTGACTCGAGGCCCCTGCTGTAACCACATTAGAAGTGTGTAACTTCTGTGAATAACTGAATTGCCGGCAAAACAGAGATGAGATGAATGGCAGAGAGATCCAAGGCAAAAGATAGAGGGTCGATGCATGCATCTGCTCGAGATTGCGATCTGACCCTTAATATTATGCTTGATCAATGAAAAGCTGCATTTAATAATGAACCCTACAGAAAGATCTCTGCATATTTCTAGCAAACAAGACGAGGGTTATTACCTCACTGATTAAGTGTGTCAAAGAAAATATCTTTTCCCTAGATGTTACTCTGTCACCTAATTGCCAGAAATAATGACTTGGTAATCAGATTTTCTAACTCAAACCCCCAAAATTAGGCCTAAGC